AAAAAAAAAGAAGGTGTTCATCTCAGTATTCTCGTGCGATATTGAAATAACATACGTTAAACGCTGTATTTACATTATTTTTATACCAGCATCGCTCATTGGTACGTCGATTATGGGATTATGAATTAAAAATGAATTACTGAATAATTCTAAATTTGAGGTTCTCTTGTTCAAACAACTAGAAACACAACAATGACCACGTCTATTACTTGACATTTTTTAAACACCGAGCGAATGCTTCAGTTCTTAATGAACAGTGTGTATGAAAACCCATACTAGGCAACGCGAGTGCACCGCGAAATTATGCGAAAGTGTGCATCTGTATAAGCTGCGCTGCTACGTTTCTATAGAGTTACCATTCTTGTCTTATTAATACTGTGATTGTATTGTTGGCATAAAAGTTTTCAACGCTCAATGTGACAAAAGGGTCTGTCTTTGTAAACGTCGCCAGATAATGATATCGCTTATTAACTGTCAACAACGTCAACAATCTCTGATTAGATACTTGACAGCAATACGACATAACGTGCACTCCAATGAACATAATAATAACAAGTTGTCATTCTTTCGCACGCGTTACATAGTGGAGTCATGAGCTTATTAAATACGAGTACGTTTGCATTGTATGTATGTAGTGACAAAACAATTTTGTATGTGTATATGTATTACTGTATGCCAAACGACAATACTGATCCATCTTGATTATAACCCAACTAGTTACAGATGTAAATAATTACCCTTCAGAGAAAGGCTATCAAAGGGAGTAAACTTCGCAGTCCATTAGATTAGAATACAGTGGTTTCAATCATGGGCTTACAACGATTATAATTGGAAGTATAATAAGTATTCTGACTTTGTTCGGTAAACTTTTAGCTCGTTATTTCGAAGTGAAGTTGTGCTGAAGTGGCTTAATTGATCCAACAATTTCAACCTTTAATTTTAGCAGGTATTTAAATTTAAGGTAGAACAATAATAATCTATTTTGTTGATCAGTGCTATTCCTATATGCACCGCGATAACCTTCTAAAGTCCATGTAGGTACATCAAAATGTTATACCGTTGAAGGAATTAAGACGATATTATTTCTATGATCACGTAAACGTACTGTGCACACTTGCACAGTGCACTTTGTGATTGTCTACCTATATGGGTGTGCATGGCTTCCCAGTGCAGTGCAGGGTTCCCCTGATGAGGGGCTATGAGGGTGTGCTTTATTTAGTTATTTACATTAAAATTAATACATCGCATTCAAATTTATCGCTACATATTCTGCATGACCATAGGGTATCCAGAAAAACACGTTTTCATACAAAACTGAGGACAATCTTGCTTGGGCTCGAAGCATATATATTTACTTTTTTTATGATACTAAGTGATGGTACGAACAAGTCGTGCGCCTGGTGGTAAACAACACGCCTGTCTATAACAGGTGCAGTGCCACACAGAGCTTTAAATCACAAATATCTGGAGTGCACTGCTTCTGCGCCCATCACCTTGAGACATAAGTTGACAAGTTCCTTGTGCCTGTAATTTCACCAGCACCCTTACCCTTCAAAATCGGAATGCAGTAATGCTCATATTGCGATAGAAATAGGTGAGGTGGCATTACTCCACTGGACGAATTCTTTCACAATACTGCTACTAAATTACATTTTAATATACCAGTATATAGTATATTTAACGCTTTTCCCGTTGTTGTTTGCTTGTTCTTAGGACGTTAGTTGACAGACTTTTTTGCATACAATTTTATAGCCCCGCATTAGGGAAACGTTGTGTCGCGGGTGCTCACGCGAAAATAAATGTAGGCTATATATATATTTCTCCATGCCCGGGAATCGAACCCGCAACCTCTGTGTGGCAGTGCAGCATGGTAACCGTTTGGCCATTGACGAAATTCTTCAGTTAGCAATTTGGCAGTATTGTAAAAAAATATGGCACCATATGCATATCTATTTTTCTTTTAATATTGGCGAACCGAATGGATCATAGCCTGTTATGATATGGAAAGTAAATGTCAATGAAAGTCTGACTTACTTTATGGGCAATCACGTCTCCCTGATTGTCAATATAAAATTGAGCGGTATGAATGTGACTCAATGAGATGTTTAACTTTCTTCTGAATGGCATCATTTGTAGTTCTAATTCCGTTAGCTTAAATACCAAATCTGCACGTAATTGTTCTAGGGGTTTTATGTTTGTGGCGTGCAGTCTTTGCAAGCGGGTTGCTGTAAATAAAAGTCGTTAAATTGGGATTTGAAAGACTAAGTTTTATCTTTTGTTTGTTGTAAGGCTCATTTTATACATGTTTGTTCCACGTTCAGAACTTTGTGATAAGATGTTAAAATAGTTACAATTGGAACCCAATTTAGATGAAAATCAGTTACATTATAATATCTTTTGATTGTCTCCGTGGTTGAGCGGCTTGCACACCGGTTTTCATGGTGTCGCCAACTTTGAGGTCCCGGGTTCGATCCCCGGCCGAGTCAGTGTAGTTCTATGTTTTCTCGGGTCTGGGTTTGTGGTACCGTTGTAGTTTCCGATTTCCATAACACAAGTGCTTTAGTTACTTACTTTGGGACCACAGCAACGTATGTGATGTTGTCTGATATTTATTAATTTTTATTTTATAGCGAGTGATTAGTAGATAGTCTTTATAAAAAAGGTTTTGGAATTTATTTTCAATTTTCTAATAACAAAAGGCGGTGGTAGCCCAATGGTTTGTCCTACCGCCTCTCAAACAGAATTCTAATGCGGACACGCACTGAGTTTTTCGGAATTTATGTGCGAAATTTATAATGAGCTTTTCAGTGAAGGAAAACAGCTTGAGTAAACCTGCTCACATCTGCGAAGCATTTTACGATGTGTGCGAGTTTTCAATCTCTATTGGGCCCGCGTCGGTAACACAGCCCAAACCCTCTCATGATGACAGGAGTGGGACTATACATTTAGGCTAACTATTAAACTAATAACCTGTGACCGGAATTGAACTAGTTAATTTGGCTAAAATAAAGAATAACGTGCAATTTTAAAAATTCCGGTACTTCTCGGAACTGATTATATTTGAATACGCATATTCAATGATACGCATATCATTTATTGAAATTTGAGTACATTTGCGACAAATTATTATTATACTATATACTTAATAAGTATTTGCTCCAAAATTAACTATTGTGTCAAAAAATAATAATGTAGCTGTGTGTCCATAGGTACTTACGTATTTAGATACTTTAGCCTATATTTGAAAAATAAACATAAGACAATATATTCTAAAAACAGTAAAAAAATAAATTTAATACGCATTGATGACGAAATGTTCATACTAAGAAAATGTTCATACTCTAGGTAAATTAACTTCTTCGATCTGCTAATAACAAATAGAGACTACGATTACATGGAACAAACAGATTTCGGAAACTTAACGATATGTCATAGCTCTTCATCCCTAATATCTAACTTGTGAAGTAAACACGGTTATTTACCTAGAGTTTCTAATCTTCCTGCTGTAGTAAGATCTGTGACTTGTGCTGCAATGTTTTCGAGTTGATCCACAAGAGATGGTAGGTCTTTTCCAACTATGGGGCCGTTGTAGTCCATCCTAAAATAATAAACTTCTCTTAAAAATTAGCCTTGACGGATCCTTGTGTATTGGTTACATACAATGTAGGTATGTTTAGAGACGTTACCGTGTTAGGCTCAATTTACATCACCGTGGAATGGAAGTGAAATGGTATATACATGAACATGAGCATAATGAACTATATGTCAATTGTATAACGTATAAACTGGATACGAGCCATAAAACCGGAATTGTTGTGCAACCTCGAAATTTCCGCAGCTACCGTCTCACATCCAGTTTGAAAAAATTCACTTCAATTCTGCAGCAATATAAATTGAGCCTTACTGAACTGCTTAAAATCTTTGAAGTTTTTTCTTTAATATTGAAGAAATAAAGCACAATATAATGTGGTTGGATATTATCCAGATATTTGGGATAATTGTTTCGAACATCTTGAATGGTGTAAAACGAAAAAGACAATAATTTAAAAAATAATTTTTGGTTACACAAAAGACTATGATCTCACACAGTCTCTCTGGGACCCATGTTCAGTACAACTGACGTGGTTTAAATCATACATCAGTACAAGGACATTGATATTTGTAAAACCTAAAAAGAATTAGTACAGTAAAAATGCCGTCTTGTGTCTTTAAGCATTGTAAAAGTTGTTCCCAAAAACAAAAAAAATAAGATGGAATATCTTTTCACAGGGAACCATTGTTAATTTAACAGGTTTGTAATTTATTTACCCGATATTTTTTGAGATTCACTCGGAACACAAAACCTCGACATAAACTGATATGTGTTGCCAGTTTATATCGAAATTAGTTTCCTTAATGGTAGGTAAATATGCATGGGTGATAGGAGCATCGAATAATTTATACTTTTGTATAGAAATTAAATAATGCATGCATATACACACGGAACGGTCCAATTAAAGCGATCCAAAATTGTTTTTAGGTAACTCAGATTTACCTAAATTCTTCTCAAACCATCTCTAATCGCAATAATTAGAGTACTTAAAATAACCGACCTGAAAAGTCATTCATCCCCTAGTTTGCCACTCTTATAGGTCGAATATTTTCGTCAAATTTAAAACAATACTGAGGTACACTCTTTCCAATAAAAAAAGAGTTATCAAAATCCGTTCACAAAATTATCGCTTAATATACAAACAAAAAACAAAAAACACACACCCGAATTGAGAATTTTTTAAGTCGGTTAGAAATAAATAGCACCGTCGTCATACTTACCTATATTTAGCTAAATTAACATCAGAAACGACCAACATTTGAGTCAGCAGCTTATTAAAATAAGCAGATACAGTTTTCAAAAACGCAACATCTATCAAAGAAGCAAGTCGTCCTAAATCTGTTTGTAGTTCTTGCCATTCAAAGTAGGATGTTTCTTTATTAACGTCTATAACTTTCTCAAGTTGGAACACTACGTAGGCTGGATGGTCTTTTTCGCAGTCTCTGAAATTAATGAAATTGGTAAAATTATAGGATTTGTAATAGATCCGTTTCTTGCGATGTCGAATTCATTAATGACGTTTCCATTCATGTTTGGTGCGAGAATTACCTACGGTGGAAAGGCCATACGGCACTGATCCAAATTTTGTGTACAATATAATTGGTGTCTTTTCAAAATTAAATAGACATTTTGATACCAATTCAACCAAAATTTCAGATATTTTGATTACATTGAACGCACTGATCATTTGGATTCTAAGAATACCTATGTATACATATAGTGTGTTTTTTTAATCCCATGGGGAAATTCGAAAGTATAGGAGATACAGGAAAACCTCTTAGGAACCATTAAGTCTTTTTTACAATTTTTTAGTCAAGCGTGAGTTGTCCATAAAAATGAATAAAACCGATATTTTTTATAGTGCTGATCAACTCAGTTTTGTGTAAGAATCATTTGATACGTGTAGTATAGGAAGAAAAAACAGGACAACCAGAAATCGGCCAAAAAAAAATGTTCTTCATACAAAATTAATCAAATCGATTATTTCTTTAATGTTGATTGGCTCAGTTAAAGTTATCCATTCAGTACGAAAAAGCTTTTTTTAAATTTGACAAACTTTCGGACTCCCGATTTTAAATGTAGTAATTACGACAAAACATCATAATATTATTACAGTTTTAAGGACCAGGATCCTCCTTATTGGAAACGTTTATATCTACCATTATATCTACCACAGGGTAGACACTTTTTAACTCTTTATTGATATAAGGGCTTTGATCATTATTATTATAATTTAGAAAAACAATACTTAAAAAAAACTCTTAATAGAATCTAAACGGATAAATCAAAATACTGCCTAAGCAAACATATAATCTATATACAAAATCTAATCTACTATTTGGCACATCAAATATTATAATAAGAAATAGACAGCTATGGTGATGGAGTTACTATACAATGTTGAGCGAAATGTTACCGAAACTGATTGTTGTGATTTTTTGAATATATTTTTTTGACACATTGACTATTTCGGTTTCTATTAAATCGACACCAGTAAGATTTAGTTATGAATTGGAATAGTCGAGAGCACATCAAGTTTCACATTTATACCCGTTGTTATCGTAAGCGGCATAAAATTGAATTTCAATCTTTTGTGTCAAACTTGACGTGCGCTTGACCCTGTACTAATTTACCTTAAAATATCTTTAACAGAGACATCAATAGTAATGTTTTCGATATCTCTGAATATGACGTCGAATATACCTTCCTTATCTTGTAAAAGAGGGGACGGTCTGTCCAATAGATTCGAAAGTGTAGTGTACTGAGTGTCCCATAGTGTATGGCAGACGTAAACCTGTAAAAGAAATTTACAGGCACCTACAGGTATAAATCCATTCTGATAGTACGTTTTACTTTATTCTTAGTAACTGTGCAATCTAAATCAGGCTTTCGAAGCAAATCGGTTTTGACAAATGGCCTGCTTAATTTTTAGAGCAAATCTTTTATTCTGTGATTTAGAAAAAGCATTACTTTTAGGCGTTGCTTTAAAAACAATTATATATCTATAGTGCTTCTATTTTCTCAATGTCTCTCGGCAAACTTCGTGTTTCGGGTATGGTCGGATTTTATTCACTTGCCCTTTGAATTTGGCACAGACCGGACGCTCTCAGGTGACTTGAAAGTATATAGAGTTGCTATGACATTTTTTATTTATTATACAATGGGAGAAAAACCGGTAAAGTCACTGACACGACAGATAATTTACAGCGTGTCCTTGTATTTCTTACAAGAAGCCGATACCTGCTCGAGCAGCGCGGAAATTGATTATTCCATCGATGGGGAACAAGCTAACATAGCTACATCATATGAAGAAATGCGTGCAGATACGGATTGAACTGAAATGATTAATAACCGGAAAAATATTATTTTTTATTTATATGAAAGAAGCACACATTATTTACTTTATACTTTTGTTACCTTGCTTATTGACATGGAGTAAATGTTATTGAAAATAGGGAAATAGTTTCATAGCTCTATATAGTTCACACGGAAATCAAAGTAAAACAACAATAAAGTAAGTTGTTCTTAATTCAAATTTATTATACAATTTTAAATCTAGTGATTAATGGGCAAGGAAATTAATATTCGTGTGCACTCGGAAACCCGTTGATTGCCGAGGTACATTGAGAAAATAGAAGCACTGTACCTATCTGTTGATTTGTAATTAAAGTCCTAAGAACATCATTTATCATTAGGTATATATTTGTATTAGAAACTTTTGGGTCGTACTAAATTACAATGTTCAATAAGAAAACAAAACCCTACATTAAAGAAGCATTAGTAATGTGCCAGACAACCGTACCAGTTACCTTGTCTTAAATCAGGTAATTCCCTGTAGGTAATATGAGTACCATCCAGAACACAATTAAATTTTAAGTAAGTAAGTTTCATTGGGAATCGAACCCGAAACTTCCTCATTCAACTCCAACAGTGCAACATTGGGCCACAGACGACGTCATAAAATCACTTTCAATTTTTTCACTGTTAACACCGTGTTAACACGAAAGAAGTTTATTATAATTATTAAGACATTGATATTTGACAGGAGTAATTTCACACAAAAAATAATTGAATATCAATTCAATAAAAATGTAAATGAAATAATCTCAGAATAGCCACTCTTAGTGGTGGATTTTCTTCAAAATTAAATGGGACTACTATGGAGATACCCTCTTTCCAACAAAAAAAGAATCATGAAAATCGGTTCACAAATACCGGAGTTATCGCATAACATACATACGAAAAAGGAACATAGTCGAATTGAGCACCTCCTCTTTTTTGAAGTCGGTTAAGAAGTTGTTAATTTATACGTAGCGAAGTCATAACTGTGTTACCTCGGCGTGTCCTGTGATGAGGAACGCGGCGGAAATCAGGCTCCATAAAGCCAGCGAGATGAAGCATAACCACCCCGATGATCTAGAAATATAAATAAAAGTCGTGTACTACTAATCTTATATAATAGTAGGCGAACGATTCTAACGTCTTTTTATTTCCTTGGCAGCAGTATCATACATTTAAAATTATTGTGTAATCGACATAAACACCTAAGAGCGGTTACACAAGGCGAGTTTTAGCAGCAATACAAACGCGCGTTTAACAACTTGATAGTAAATAGTTGCAGTGTTACTCAGAGCTATAAAACATAAAGATGAGACATAGATAAGTCTCATATGCCTATAATTTCACTAGCATTCTTACCCTTCAAAACCGGTACGTAGTAATTTGCTCATATTACTACTTGGCGGCAAAAATAGGTAAGGAGTTCTACTGCTGTTTAAACACTTATTTACACTTGCGATTTATAAGCGATTGACAGTCGCTTATGTTTAATCACTAAAAGCGTGCATCGCGATTGTATCAGTCCTTAAGCCGCACGTGTGTGTAAAGGTAGACGATTAGCGGCTGAATCGCTGCGGCGCGTTCATTGACTTACAAATAAATGGACGACGGGTCTAATACAAAAACCACGAAAAAAATGTCCCAAATCAACCTATTCGAAATTTAAATTGTAATGTCATCGCAGTATCGCGCTGTCGGTCGAACAAATGAAGACTAAAGCGGAGTTTGGCGCTCTGTATACGATTTTAGCGCCTTACAAGTGCAGACACTTTTTAGCGCGGACCCGACGTCCATATAATTGTAAGTCAATGGGCGCGTTGCATAAAGTCGCCCTGTGTAAACGCTCTTAAAAGGTTTTACTTTATAATAAAGAAACGACTGTGCGGAAACGTAAGTAACACAAAAATCTATTAAGTTTTTTATTGTTTTAAGGGGAACTATCTTCGAGTTCTGGCACTTACCATCATAAGAGTATTACGAAAATTGGCCTATAACAAAAAAAAAGAAAGAAAGCGCACCATTGGTATAATAAGGCCACATCTGCAAAGTTACAATTTTTCTGGAGAGAGATTTAAAAGTTCTACGACCGAAATTAGTGTGTAACTTTTTTATGCGTAGTCAATATGAGAGTTATAAAATTTCATTTACACATAAATTGTTTTATGTAGTTCGTTTTATTTTTATGACTGTCGTGTGATACGTAAAAGCACTTTCGATGTATGATATCATCACATGTAACTTATTATATCAAGAGTACAAAATAAAGAAAGTGGTATAAGTAGTTAAGGAAACTTACACTTGCAAAGTTCTTTTAGCGTGTCCTTTAGCATTACCACACCCGCACATCATGCCGAGAAGAATGAGGACCATCACGAACCCGAAACTTACAATGCTCGCTGTAATAAAAACTTTTTGTCATGTCCCTATACGTCTATGAGGGCTAACGGTTATTTCATTTTCACCTGACAAGCAATTTGCTAAATTTGTATTCCATTCATGACCCTATTTTATAAAGTGTGTTATGTCAATTTCTTTTTAAAGTTTTCACCTACTTATTTGGGCAACAAATGTGACAAATAGCATAGACAAGACAAATAAATAGGTAATTCCAAAATATTTTTAGGTTTCTAGATATGATCTGTTCCATATCTATGTATTCCGTTATTTATCCTAGAGAAACACAAAGTCTCTAACGTTTTGACAATTTTTTTTAATTTTTAATAATTTTTTATGGTGGATGAAAACACAGCTTCTTGTTAGAGACACCGTCTTTGGCTTTGTTCGTCTTCGTTTTAGGCTTTGTGACACTACAGTATCAAAATCATCAAGGACACCGTGTGTCTCTATAACGCGTTATTGGATATGATTGAAAAGAAACAATTCATAAGTATAATTAAACGTTTTTGTAGCGAAAAGTGCGAACCAAAACAATATTTTGCGTCAAAGGCTTTTGTGATTCCCACCTATAAAGTTTTATACATAACTTCTCTGTATAACAACGTGGGAGTGTGATTGATTACTCGATAAATCATGGTTTTGTTGTAAGTGAACTAGACTGGTCTTAGAGTAATGAATTGGAAAATTGTAACCTCATTACCGCTATTTTTGTTTTTCAAGCATTAGTGGATCTTTGTCAATATAGCGAACTACGCTGCACACATTGTATCTAGAAAATCGAGTAACTTACACGTATTGATAATTTTGAGATCCATAAAACTCTCAATAGTATATAATACAAAGTATTGAAAATTTTACAGTATATTTGACAAAATTCACTTGAACGTTGTTGAGGAATCACGTGCAAGAGATTCAAGTGCATAGCTGTGCATTAGTAGTGCAGAGCTCCTAGTAAAAAGAGTTTGTCCAGAGAAGTACTGACACCACACCAAAGCATAAATGTGAGCATTATTTTCAGATTACCAACAGTGCTATTCACAAAGTTAAAATATATGTATGCATGTAAACACTTTATTGCACAGTAAAACTAATTACAAATTTTAACAAAGAATTTAAAACGTTAGTGTAAAAATGCTAGCTCACCCTCTGAAGGGAATTCGAAAAAAAATTAAAACTTTATTTAAGGTAATAGCAATAGTAATGTTTACGCCTTTATAATTAAATATGGATCTGAATCTTTGAGTTGACGTTAAAAATTTGTCATTTACGAGGTTTAAAATTACCCGGTGAAATAAAAATAGCTTCGAATCCATCGTATTTAGACGAAATCCATCTTATTTAGTTCATGCAGGTTATTTCGATCAATGATATTTGAAATAAATGTTATAAATGATAACTGTGTACAAATGTTTATTTACAAAGGCAACCACTAGAGTTTTTTTTTCATTCTTAAAGGAGTTTTCCTTACAAATGAGTAATAGAGTTTAATCAATGCGACAATTTGTAGTGTAATTTGCTTATGTTAGAAATAAAGATTATTTTGAGTTTGAGTGAGTTCCGGTTTTGAAGGGCACGGTTCCTGATAAAACTATAAGGCACATGGGACTTGTTAACAATAGGTCTTATAGTGACGGGTGCAGTGGCAGTGTTTATCAGTTCATTGCGATTTATAATTTGAGTGGCACTGCAACCGACTTGTTTATCTCAGCGATTGGTATCATAAAAAAAGTGCATTGTAAAGCAAAAATTATGGGAATCAGATTCCTTATGGAAAAATTCTCACCTAACATAATAGTCCATCTCCAGAACTCATACTTCTGAACTCTCTCCAGCCCGGATTCAATCTTTCTGGCGACTGAGTGAAGTCCAGCGTTCAAATGCCTCACAATGTCTGTCAATATCCGCACGGAGTTATGGACTTGTTGTCTTTGGGTTTCTATATCACGAAGAATGTCTGTTTTAAAACAAATGTAACTTAATGACATTCTGAACATTTTCGGGTTTTCATTCCAACTAGGCTTATTAACAAATTAACAAATAAAGGTAATTTGTTGTTGTTTTTGATTCAAACATCGGACAGTGTTTGCCGAGCTTATACTTCCGATTGTGTTATAGCTACAGATGTAATATATACTTGTACTAGATAACGACTGGTACGGAGTGTACGGTAAAACCAAGATTGGTAGCACTGTACAATTATACTATACATAGGTGAATTCTGTTATGTTCAAAAATAAAAAAAACAAACATAAACAAAAAATCTATTTCGACTGGAATTGAACCAGCGTCTTTCTCATCAACGTGGCTAATTTATTTTTCGTTATTCTAAATATTAGGACAGAATACACATAATCTGTGAGTTTTTAATCACAGGCACTATAACCAATAACAATACATGTTCGTATCTTATTTCAGTCGTTTTCTTCATGACTAACGGTCGTGTTCTCAAAACATGTTCGAGACTTTATGGATTCCTTATGCGCTCCAGAACTAGTTCTGTTTTCGGCTTCTCTCAGGGCAGTTGTTATAAGAAGGAGAGTGAGGGGTCACACCATCGGCTAGATGATCTACCGCGGAGTCTCTTCCTTAACGCTCTTTACCCACCCCAACCAGTTTATCAAGGCAACAATATTATATATGACCACAATATTTCAGAACTGTCAGGTAACACAATATTGTGGAAAGTCTAGTTGTGATACTGAGCTATGATTAATTTATGGTACATTATATATGCTGTATGTTTGTTACTTCGTCATGAAATATTACATAAACGATTTTATTACCTTCTCTGACTTGCGATGTTTGAGTGGAAATAGCATTAGGTAGGGTACGGAATTCTTGCTTCGCATTAGACACTGCGCGAGTTAAATTTTCTACGCCTAAAGAACGAAGCTCCATTAGCTGTTGCTCATGTAGTATCTAGAAAAAACAGAAATCGGCATATTATATATTATATTATCCGTATTTTGTTTTAATCCACAAAATTCATCCTATTATTTCAAAAGCAATGTTTGGACTTGGAATAAATATTTCTCATTGGGTATCTAAATATTATTGTAACAAAATTTTTGTTATCAATATCTGGGTTATCAATATCATTTTCTAATTTGTTGTAACATAAAAACATGAAAAAACCATATTTCCCTGCAAAAACTTTGCTATTGAGGTCAGGTCAACGAAAAGTTGTGCGTTTTTTTTTATTTATTTTTTATAATATCAAGTGTTAGGTCTACACGCCTGTTCATAACAGCTGCAGTGCCACTCAAAGCTTTAAATAGCAAAGATTTGAGGGGCATCGCCACTGCACCCGTCACCCTGAGACATAAGTTGGTAAGCTCCATGTGCTTGCAATTTCACCCTTACCCTTCAAAACAGAAACACAGTAATGCGTACATTACTGCTTGGCGGCAGAAATAGGTAAAGTGGCAGTACTTCCCTGGATGAACTCCTTCACAAGGAACTGTACTGCTACTAAAACTGCGTACCATACAGAAAACGTACAAATTTTCTAGTTTTTCCTTATGTAGAGACAAATAGCGAGCATTATATTTAAAATCTATAATATATTTCAACCAAAATTCTACAAATTGATGACAAAGAACCTAGACATGTGGAGATTTGCGAGATTGTGTAAATACCATTGTACCATGTAGCTATGAAAATAGGCAGCTATGTAAATACCACTATGTATCCACAAAAACAATGTTTCAGGGGTATAGCTACTCTTCTCTACATACTTGCTGCTTCATTGAACTGAAACCAACACTATCAAAACCGTACTGATTCCAAAACTGTCAAATAAATATTATTCGACTAAATCAAAAGATAATCTGAAGTACGAAGGTTCATTCCCGTCATGGCTCTTTTAATTTTGTCGTGTATTACTTATTGGAGTAGACCCCCTGAAACGGAACCTGTTTAAAAATGTGTTACATCAGACCTTACATGCTTTAAGTAGAGTGTGAGTAGAAAACGAATCTATAAAAAAAAATCTATCATGGAACGATCGCCAAGTGAAACATGTCCGCAACTGTTTGTTATATACTTTATACTAACCAAATCAAACTTCAACAATAATTCCAAAGAATTTGTGTTAACAGTGTCGCAAAGTGGCGCGTCTTTCAACGTGCAGTGTTTCTTCACATTGTCTATCTGACGGCCCAAGTCTCTGATTTTGTCTGCTGTGGCTGATGCTAATGCTCCAGCTCGTATACTCATGTCACGTAGAGATGATATCTTTGAAGATAGATCGTCTGTCTCTGAAATTAAATAAACTTGTATAAGTATTTTACCGATGATCTATTGCAGTTGAGTTCGCCGCAGCGGTCATTTTGTTCGAAAGACTCTTTGTAGTCGGCTGCTGATGGCCTTGACTGCGCCACCGGAATAAAATACCTAAATAAACTAAAACTAACTAAGTAGCATGTCTGAGGGCGCCGAAGTGGGCAAGGACCTCGCCTCAGGGCTCTACTGGGGACTTCTGCCAGAAGGGCGTGCTATAGGGGAGAAGGGCTCCTGCCCTTGCGAGCGCGGCAAGTCCACGAGACGCGTATCTTTATACTAGTGAGATAGCAATACATTTGTCTCGCTCTTGCAAATAATGTAGGCACTTGATTGATTGATTGTGTATTCAACACATGTATGATACTATTCCGATTTCAACTCATCATCAGTACTTCGCTAAAAAGCACTTATACACCTAAACTACAACCGAAGAGCACCTAAACTATGTACGTATCTGAATTGCAAACGTATAATAAAAAATTTGCAGGCAAAACATTGAAGCTACATTAAAAAGACCACGTAGGTAAAAATTTGATGACAAAAACGTGTTATAAAATTTCAACAATATAATTTTGCTACGTGTATTTTATGGTACAGTTCATTCTATATAACAAAAGTAAATATTTTCGATCGAAATAACGCTCAATGGATGTAATTAATGTAAACATAAAGTATCATTGAATATAATAAACGATTCGTATAGATAACAATTTTAAATCAAATACACCGGCAGTATAATATACATTTTACATAAACATTTCAGATAAGACATTTATTGAGTACCTACCTAAATATAACCCCAGTATCAAAAGGTGTGACCATGACGCAAGGTGTAGCAAGGTGGAATGTTAGGTTCGAAAGCACATTAAAATTAATATTGTAGAACTCTACTTATCCTGGGTTAGGTTAGTAGTTTTTTATTGGCAATAAATAGTTTAAATCGGGTGTCGCTAACAGGTGCCATTGCTAATTTATTCACTTAGGCGCTTCAACTATATGTAAAACTTATACCGTTAATTAATTATGTTAGTTAATCATTGTATTTAATGTTTGTTATACTGAAGGCTTACTATACATACTATACAATGAAATGATATATTTTGTTGTAATATCACTTATCAATTATATCCCATGAATATATAAATATTATATATATTTTTTTATATTCTTGGAAAAATATATAAAATATCGATATAGCTACCAAGCGAAAATAATAATTTGTGTTATGTCAATCATTATACACACATATTTCATATTTTATAGTGTGTCCTCAAGTTAAAATGGCTAGTGATTGTTAAGATTATTCGTGTGCTTGTACTCACTATTGTTTTAAGTATGATGTTATTTATGTTTCTGTGTAAGTGAATGTATATTGTTAGGAGAAATAAATATTCTTTAACATTTAATTCGTACACATGCAAAATAGGCATCTAGAAATAGTGTTGCAGATACCAGCCCGTTACACCATCATACTGTATCATCCGAAAAGTATATTTGGAAAACTGTCAAGAAAACTGATATGTTAGGTTTACTGCGTACTATTTTATTTTTGTAAATGTCACATAAATATTTTTTTTTAATTAGGACACTTTATTATTGAGAGTGCGAATTCAGAAGAAGAATTTTGAAGAATTCAGAGGAACAAATCGAAGTAGTTATTATGTTGAAGAAATTAGTAAGTTTATTGCTTGACGTACTAAAGAAAGAAGCTACCAAAATTTACCTACCTATAATATGTGTTATAAAAATTTAAATTTTATAATCAGATTAACATACCTGAAACTATATCATTCATTGAATCAAACACCAAATCAATTCCACTCTCCGAAGCTATAGCCTGTTGAATAGGTTCTCCTAACAGCGTTTCCACATCTGAAATAGGAAATACGAAGCTATGAGCAGATTGTATTTGATAATAAAACTACGTTAAATTATTCGAAGAAAGTTTTAGAATGTTCGATTTACATGCATATATCCGATTATAGAAGCTCTTACCTTCTATAATAATTTCAAAAAATAAATGGGGAAGCGTGTTTTAAGGTATATTGATATATACAACACAATACAAGCAATGTGACTATTACTGCGTTCCGGTTTTGAAGAGATATGGTGCTGGTGAAATTACAGGCACATAAGACTTGTCAACTTATGTCTCAGGGTGACGCGCGCAGTGGCAGTGCCCCTAAGATCTTTGCGATTTAAAGCGCTGAGTAGCACTGTACGTCCCTTCACTTAGTACTTAAAAAAAAATAATGGAGAAATACTTTTGGGAAGCAATACTCTAGTTCATGTGATAGTTTATACCGTCTTACATGTCTCTGGAAAAACATGGGGAAAACTGACAAAAATATGTAATGTGACAGAGTGAAGAATACCACGGTATTCTCCATGTCCATGAACGATGTTGTTTGAAAGAGCATGTAGTGACAAAAATAGAGAACGTGTGCTAAGGTGGTTCGGGCACATGGAGTGAATGAATGAAAGTAGATTGGCGAAGGAAATTTTTTTTACGCGCACATTTTAAGCCCTCCACTACGAAACTCTGTGTCCCGGTTACCATGGACACAATCATAGACAAACTCAAATAAAGACAGAGAAACAGAAATAAATATAGGCTATACAAATATTTCTCCCGGCCTGGCCGATAGTTTCTGCCTACAATGTGAGTCTAAAAACGTGAGTATAAAAAAATATCTCTGGAGTATGACTATATTTATTCGCTCTCCTTTTTCTCCTTTTTCCCAATAACAAGTACACTTGGAATGCTTCCTGTAATCTTGGAAACTTAACGCTGTCTATGTTATTGTGCGTCCCGGAAACATGACGCTTGCCTATCGTATTAGACGGGTATTGGATATCGAATTGTACAGGATAAACTCGTTAGGAAGCTTTGTTGAAGCGACATATAAAAATCAAACAAAATCTACGAGCAAGGGTCTTATTATCGTTAAATATACGTAATATTTCTGAAAACATCCCATCACGTAATATCAGTTTCATTTTAACCGACTTCAAAAAAGTAGGAGGTTTTCAATTCGATTGTATATTTTTGTATGTACGTTACGAGATTACTCCGGCCTTGTGAACCGATTTTGATGATTCTTTTTTATTGGAAAGGTGGTACCTCAGTATTTTGTTTGTATTTTGGTCTCATTTAAATTTGAAGAACATATTCCACCTCTAAGGGCGGTAAACTAGGGGATGAATCCGGTTTCGCGCACTTTTCGGTAACCGATTTCAATAAAACTTGGTAAATAGATTAGTAGTTCCACGAATTACTAATCTATTTGCCAAGTTCTGTTCAGTCACACAGTCGGTTCTGACAACTTTATTGTTGAGTTGGTGTGCTCAATATGTGGTAGAATGTTAGAGCCAAGTGTATTTTTATTTGTATACGGGGTTATTTGAAAAATACTAACAGTCTCGCTGGACTATTAGTGCCCACCTTATCATAACTGACGTAATTGAGATTTTTAGCGTAATTGACTTATTAATATATCAGAAACCAGCGAATCGAGATCTACAATCCCCAATAAGTGTTTTTTTAATGTACACATTCATAGGTCTAGTAGCGGGCAGACGCTTATAGTAAGTAAGACCGATGACACGTGGGTTCCTTCCTCTCCCGAAGCGAAATACTTCAGGGGGCAATTTTTTATTCACACACTCATAGCCCCTCACTAGGGAAACCCTGTATCGCAGCCACACAAAAAGGAATCGAATCCGGGACCTCTGCGTGGTAGTCTAGGGTGGTAACTGTTCGGTCACGGAGGTAGTTATTATATATTATTTATCGAGTTCTTAGGTTTTCGCGATTGTTACACATAGGAAATAAACTATTTTTCCGGATTTAAATCGCGTGTGTTTGTTTTTTTCAAACAAACCGACGTTTCGGGCCCTTTACGTTTTACGTTTTACGTTTGTTTGATATACGCGATTTAAATCCGGAAAAATAGTTTCATTTCCTATATATATTATTTAGTTTTAGTTTTATTAAACGACTCCAGAAAAAGACGGTGGTTCTCATTTCGTCTGTATTTTTTTTTGTATGTGTATTACGCGATTACTCCTGTATTTGAGAAGCGATTTCGATGATTCTTTTTTTATTGGAAAAAGGTACCTCAGTATTGGTCCCATTTAAATTTAAAGAAAACATTCGATGTATAAGTTTTCGCGTACTTTCCGCTAACCGATTGCAATAAAACTTGGCAAATAGATGAAATTCCATGAACTATTGAGTTCGGTTTTTTTAATAAAAGAGTTACAATTATTGTAAAGCAAAATCGTTGTAATTGACATTTTTTTAGGTGAGAATAAAAATTAAGGTGCCGATATTTCGTAAGTTAGCGAAACGCAAATGTGTTACAGTGGTTATACACTTTCGGTGTTTTGTAAAAAAGGTAAAGCGCCACTTCGATAAATTTTTCAACAGAGCATGTTTTTAATGACTGTTTTAAAATATTTAGGCCCTGTTTTAAAATTCAGTTGGTTTGGTTTTGATTAAGTTCAAGTTTTAAAGTTGGATTTAAAACAGGATGTAAATATTTTAAAACAATCGTGAAAAACTAAAAATTGTACCCCTGAAAAATTGTCCAAAATGGCACTTTCGCCCTTTCTACAAAGCACCGGCGATATATAATGTGTGCATTGACAAAGCGTACTTTCTATTCCAACTTCATTGTGTGACGCATTTCCTATTATTTGTCTTCGGAGGCATAAATTCACAGCATACTCTCGCTTTCGAATCTAAAGTAAAAGATTCTTGGGGGTGAAGTGAGGTAAAGTAAGGTCTGTTGTGAATCAGTTCTAACGTAAACACACTCTGTAAACAGGTCTTTTAAGTATGCAGAGGTTATATACCTTTTACGTGACCAAATATCATCAGAGCCACGACGCGAATTTTCGTCTATGAGTCTTTTTGAGTTAGTCACCATGAGTACTGACTATTTTTATAAGTGCCATAACACGAATAACATGCTGTGGATATATTAAGAAGACCACTATTTTTTTTATCACACTAAGTGAAGGGACGAGCAAGTCGTGTACCTGTACATAACAGGTTGCAGTGGAGGTATACTGTCACTGCGTCGCTGTGCCTGTCACTCTGAGACATAAGTTGCCAAGTCCCATGTGCTTGTGACTTCACCAGTACCCCTAAAACACGAACGCAGTAATGCTCACATTACTGCTTGGCGGCAGAAATATTTAAGGTAACAGTACTTCTCTGGTCGATCTCTTTCACTGCTACAACACCTTATTAACGCTTTTTTTCGTTCAAACAGCGTTTTTGTACTGTGTATGTAGTAGCAGTAGAGCTCTTTGTGAAAGAGTTCGTCCAGGGAAGTACTGCCACCTTACATATTTCTACCGCCAAGCAGTAATGTGAGCATTACTGTGCTCCGGTTTTGAAGGCTACTAGTGCTTGTGAAATTACTTCCACATGGGACTTGTCAGCTTTTGTCCCAGGGTGACGGGCGCAGTGGCAGTGTCCCTAAAATCTTTGCAATTTAAAGGTCTGAGTGGCACTGCAACTATTATGGACAGGTGTGTCGCTCACCACTAGATGCACGACTTGTTCGTCCCGTCACTTAGTATTAAAAGAGTGTTCAAATTATTTATCATGAAACAAACAAAATATAGTTTTGCACTTACTTCTCAAATCATCCTTATAAGCCTGCAAGACCATATCGATAGGCGGAACAAGACTATGATGTAACTCCCTTGCAGCTGCAGCTAACCACGCAGCCACATCGGCACAGGCGCAATTTACCACGTTCCTGCTGCTGTTCGCTGCTTCATGAGCTTGCTCGTTGGTTACTGCCATCCCAGAGATTAGTATGCTGAAAATAAATGTATATTAGGAAGTCATAAGAAATAGTCGATCTCGGTATCAGGTAACTGTGAAAAAAATTCTAATTACAAATCCACTTACCAACAAACCAAAACAAAGAATAAAGCCACCACAATAACGACGCGGTCACTGCATTTCGATGTTTCAGCTTCAGGAAATAAAGCCCCAGTTTCGGTGTCATCATTACACCGGGACCCTGCTAGTAGTGACAGGATGCCAAGTACGATAAGGTATGAAGGTATCACCAGTGCCATGCAGGCGAACACTACAACGAAACCCAGGAACGTTGATTCTATTTTGATTGACTGAAAAAATATATTAAATTTTAAACAGACCAATGAAATTGTAATAGAGTACAATTTAAAAGGAGTTTATGTAATTCATTATATTATTAGATCTATTTCAATTGGTACGAGCCGTGGCTACGGCGTTGGATTTAAGCCGGAAGGAGTTTTATTTAAACATTAAGTGTCAAAGTATTGTTTTTTTATATATTTAGATATAATGGAATAAGAACACATCTGCAGAAGGACGACTTTGTAGGAGAGAATCTTTAAGAACCTGCGAAGGAAATTAGTCTATGCCTTTTATTCTTAAATAGGAGTGTAATGTAGATGTCACAAGAAAGCTATAATTTCATATACATAATTTGTTTAATTTAGTTTATATTACTCTTTATGACTTTCATGCTGTTGACGTGTGATCATATGTGGCCATATAATACACTCGCGGACACATATTTCGAGCTACCTTGCATTTTTAGTATTAAATGCCCTAAGCTTAAAAAATATGTTTCATTGATCAAAAACTATTAATGCAATTTTGAAGCTGGTTTACTAAACGTCATTTCCGTATGTCCTTCTTGAAAATTTGATTTTGTGAAACCAGGGAAAAACGAGTTTAAGGGTCGCATTCGAGAACTCTACTCAATGCTCAAGTCAGGATTGCACTGGACACACAAGCACTGGAAATACGACCCTATTGCCAGGGACTTAAGTATGATTTCTAGTGCTTTGAATCATACTCAAGTCCTGACTTGAGCATTGAGTAGAGTTCTAGAATACGACCCTAAGTGTGTCAAGTCTTGAATTCACCTTAGTCAAATGAAATTCTAGTAAAGAAATTTTGAAGAAAACAGTGGCTTATCGGAAAAAATTGTCTATTCAGTAACTTGTATTGCCTCCAAGAGCATTGACAACGGCCGCCATGCGATTTGGCAAAGAATTAATTAACGTCAATATGAAGTGCTGTGGAATGTTCTCCCATTCTTCCTCAATGGCAACTTTCAACTCCGGTAAGGTTTGCAGGGCTGGGTGGTGAGCTCGAACACGCCTCTTTAGCTCGTCCCATAAATATTGTATTGGGTTCAAATCCGGGCTTCGTGCTGGCCATTGCATGGTAGTAATACCGACGTCATGAAGGTATTCCGTGACGACTCTTGCAGTATGCGCTCTTGCGTTGTCATGCATGAGAATAAAATCTCGGCCTACAAGCCAGCATATGGCATTACATGAATTTCGAGGCACTGGCGAATGTATCTGTCGGCATTTAAAGGTGGCAGCCGCGGCCCCGTCACAACCTCAAGCGCAGTTTTGCCTTCGGTGGACACTCCTCCCCAGACTGTCCATGAACCCCCGCCACAGCTCACTTTCTCTTCAATGCAACACTGCACAAAATGCTCTCATTGTCTTCGTTCGACTTTGTTCCTTCCATCATTACCATAGACCATAATCTTAGTTTCATCAGTGAAGATTACCTGGCTCCACTGACGTGGAGTCCAATGCAAATGTTCTCGTGCAAATTACAGTCGCGCCATTCGTGAGCTCGTGTCAATTTGGGCCCGTTCGCTGGCTTATGTGGATTTGACCACGTTCCTTAAGTCTCCTTTTCACAGTAGCACTAATAGCCACTCCACGAAAGTCTCGAAGCTGTTCTTGGATCTGTACTGAAGTCTGTTGGCGATTTCGTAAGCTCGTCGTGAAGACAAATTGAACTTGCCTTTCCGTTGTCACTCGAAATCGTGGCGTTCCTTGACGGCCAACATAGCCGCCAGTCTCTAAGTACCGACGGTATAGCCTTTGCACAGCGGAACGACTTAAATGCAGTTGTGTACTTACATTGCGCTGACTAAGTTCAGACTGCAAAATTGCCACAGCTTGTGCAGCTACTTCAGACGCAGTTGTCATAATTCTTTCGAGAAATTTGGTTAAATTTAGAGGAAAAACAATGTAATAATACTCCTTTATTGTTACATAAAACAATTAAATAGAAAAATATTGAAATTATTTCGTTTTGACTTGCACCTTACGCGCCTTATTTCTTTAAAAACAATGACGAATCACAACTTTTCTCCGTTTTTCAAATTCGTAAATTCAAATTTGGAACAACAACACCGGGAGTGTATATAAAAATATTTATATATTATATTAAGTTACACAACATTAAGAATTATACTAAGTTATTACTTATATTGTAGCAGGGGTACGATTTATATGACATTTTTTTATCTTTGTACAGATTATATCGAACCAGGCTTGATAAATAAATATATCAAAAATTATTTCAAGATTAAGAATATAATTAAAAAAAACCGACTCTGAAAGTGGTGACTTATCACATTATTTGTCAAGTTTTATTGAAATCGGTTGACGGAAAGTGAATGAAAGTTGAATGGGACCACCATAGGTATCTCCTTTACCAAAATCGGTTTACAAATGTCGAAATAATGGCGTATCGTACATACACAAAAAAAACAGTCGAATTGAGAACCCCATCTTTTTTTGAATTCGTTTAAAAATACCACCAGCTTAATGATATAATAGCATACTTTGACATCTATCTTACATAACAGTACAAAAATTCATCTACACAAAAGACAAAGTACATGCTAGCATAGAATAACAACAAAATCTCTTCTCATCAAGCAATATTAATGTACTCTCAACGAATGTAAATGTATTCTATAAATCAACAAGCGTATAATCTGGAAAAAAGCCTATGTAATTAGGGAATGACCATAATACGTCTTGTGTTGAAGAAGAAAAATTATGTGCTCTTCTCTCTAAGTGGCGAACGGCTCCGTCTTAAGACCTTTAGCTAAAAAAATATAACAATACTATACTGTTATGTTATGTTATGGTAAATTTAAGAATATTAAAAAAACATGCGTAAGTGTATTGTAGTATGGTTCCAGATGACAAGTGCACTAGAAAATGAAGCTTATTATTATTTATTATTAGAAGCATGTCCTTTACTTTTAATTACTAAATTTATATAGCCTACTTTTATTTCTCTCGTGAGGTTGGATGTAACTTGTGGTTGTCTACCTATGTGTGTGTCCATGGCACCCGCGATACAAGGTTTTCCTAGCGCTGGGCTATGCTAATGTGTGAAAAAAAAGGAGATGAGCAAACGTCTCGATTTTGATAGTCAACAGCACAATCTGCTTTATACGTTGCACTGTTCATAAAACAATTTAATTGTTACAGATAAAGTCGAGAGCTTTTAGGATTAATGGGTCCAGCAATTAGCTAACTAAGATTTATTGACAGTGATATCAGTGATATAGATTCTAAATATAACAGATTACACATTTCTGTTGTATTAAGAAGACAATGAACACATTAGTTGTTCATAAGTATTATTTTGTGTCCCGGCAAAATATGTGTAGTCTTATAATATGTTGCTGGGTCGCGATTATTTTTACCTGCATTTTTTATAATATTCGTTCGAGAAGCCGTTCCCCAGAACTTGCGACTGGTTGTGACTACGTACTTAGCTTGGTGCTTTTTTGACGTGCACTTCCGCGGAAATCCGTAACCTTGTTATTTTTATTCTGGTCTATTTATATCTTTTTATATATTATATATTATTTTAATAGTGCATAAGTTCGGTGACGTTATTCAGAATCTCGTACGACGAGGAGCGGAACATGAGATCCAAGGTAGGTAGGTGGGCTTATATAGTTATAGGCGACTAGAAACATTACTATTTTACATTTTGTCCGACCATCCAAAAAACACAGTCCATTTTAAAGAATCAGCGAAACCACAGTGAATAGGTATTCTAAATTACAAGTTGTCGTTAACATTACTACTCGTGCAAATTTGAGTAGCTCCATTCAATGGTTGTGTCCAAAATGGAACATGCAATAGACATAGCGTTTCGAAGTTAGTATTCCAGAGATACATTAAATTTAGCTTACTACGGGTAAGTACCAAATCCATTTCGCTCATGAGCACACGTGTAAACACAGTTCGTGCTAAATGGAATAATCTTGAAGCTTTGAACAAGGATTGGCTTCAACAATGCATTATCGAGTTGCAGGAAGCGATCCTTTTAAAATGTCAATGCTTTCTAGACACCCTGTCCGTTACGCCACGGGATCGGCGAACACTGAAATGTTTTTCTTTGCTGAGGACAATTCATAGGAAAAACTGATGTGAGGTTTGATAATTATGTCCATTTTTGGAGGAACATTGTTATGTGTAGCAAAAGTTTGAGATGTTGAAATGACGATAAGTTTCTTTTGGAAAACAAAATTTAGATTTTAAATGAGTAAATAATTCAAATTAAAAATCGCAGCCGAAGCAAAAAACTTACCTAACTACAATTCTATACAAAATCTAGTGAAACGTTTTACTTAACGTACGTACGTTTAAAACGTTTACGTACATATGCTTAAAACGTACGTACTTTTACTTTAGCTTTAAACAAACGGGGTACTAAATTCAGGGAATTCTGTTCTACTAAAATTAAAAACCTGAACTTTTGAGAGAATAAGGAACTAAAAGAAGTAAGCGAAGGCAAACAGGCCAAATTACAATAACGTTATCTTGAATTTATTTACCTGTAGAAATGAGTAGGGAAAATTAAACTTTCCCCATACTACGTCCTGAAGAAGGCCTAAAAATTGTAGAGTTAGTTTACGAGTTAGTTCACGTTAGGTCCAGTTGATGATTTTTCACAACAAGAAATGAGAGGGTGAGGATATGAAGAGAAGTGAGAAATGAGTGAGAATAGTTGTAATAATTGTTTACAAAGTAAATGTAACTTACCAACTGGAAATTCAAATGGATATATCAAAGAAAAAAACTCGGACATGAAGCCGAAAGGATGAAATCCTTTGTCCAATTTCAGTGTCGGTATCAAATAAGTTTCTCTTTGAGGCTGTCCACTAAATTTTATTTTAGTTTTGTCCTTTGCCGCAAACCAATCTTCGGTGTAAGCCGTGTTTTCCACACTTATATTTTTATCTGTTACAAATTCCACAAAAATATCTTCCGTGTCTTCCTTGAATACTTCCCTCGTTATTGGTACTATTTGTAAAGTTGTTGAAGGAGTTGTGGGTGACAACGTCGAGAGTTTCCTTATTAGGGCGGAATCTGGTAGTGGTTGACGTCTCTCTCCAAAATTTGCATTTTTCAAGGCGTTATATTTGTCCAACCACGCTCTCATCGCTGTTGTATTATTCTCATTCGTATTTCTTTTGCTCCAAATATTAAAATTGCCTTTGTTATTATTATCTTTCACCGGCATATCGTGATGGGCTGTTTCCATGTCGTTATGAAGTTCAAACAAATTCCTTTGACTTTCCTTATAAGTTGTTTCTAAGCAGTTGTCCCAAACTAAAGGCAAAGATCGCACATTCTCACTGTAGGAATTTGCAAAGGAATTTTCCTGTTTATTTTTCGCGCTTTCATCAGAAGATATAAGTAAATCAACGTTTCCTTTGCCATCATATTTTTCATTTGAAGCTTTCTTATGTTGAAACGAGTAAATTGTGGAGATTGGTATGAAATTCCCAGCTACATCCAGCCGCTGCGAGGTGGCAACGACATTCAGATTGTTTCCGGCGGAGGCCGCGGGCGTCGCTTCCGATGTGGTCGGAATTTGTCGGATTTGCAACGCAAAAACGGCTTCAGAAGAGACTTCTGGTAAAGTATTTACGTCAATGGCGCGCAACGCAGTTATGCCTATTTGCTCGGGCTTAACTCGATTGACGAGGAATATTGCGAAGATTAGAGCAATCATTGCCATTTCTGTCGTTACATTATGTTATGTCTCAGTTCAATAACTGAACTCAACGTCAATACGCGAGGTACGGCTTGGTAGCCCCGGCGAACTGGGCCGCGCTAAGCGGGACATTGGACAGAGGATTTGTAGCACTTAGCGGTCTGCTCACCGGCGGCGACGTTGCACAATCGTATCACGTCGGCCCCGCTGTGCCTGTACTGGATTATGTCAAGAGTAGGCGTAGGAGTAGTAGTTATACTAAACAGCAAGCACGATAACCTATTTTTGCTTTAGGAAAATTGATGTCTATACTAAATACGCTACAGAACATAACATATTGGCCGGTAATTCAAATTTTAATGCATCATTTTCATAAATACTATGTGTAGTGTTAAAAAATTTCGACTCTCTGTAAGTTTTCATTACTCTACACGAGGTGACCCTTTTGCTTATTTCCGCGTATTGTAATTGTTATTCATGACTTCCAAACAAATGACGACAACAGTTTATTTGATTATTAACTTAACTATTATTAATTTTGAAGTTATTTACTGTGGTTTTCACCTAATCGTGCTGTTGTTATAATAATATAAAATTTTCTAAGATTAAAAACTTTATGAACGAAACTGTACTTTTATAGTAATATCTCATATATTTCTAGAAAAGGTGACTTGGATCCACTGTAATAACATACACGATAATTCACTTTCGTTTTCGTTTACGCTCTATTGACGTCTCAAAGTAAGTTTTAGTTGAAAACTACAAAATTTGAATAATCTGAGGAATTAAAGATTGTCTCGATTTGTATTGTATAGCCAATATATTAAGCTGGTTGCTGGAGTTAATAAGTAAGCTTTAATTAGATTGAAAAATCTAATAATTATTCATTGTTTTACAATTAATTTAATGTCTACCTTTTGTATTTGTTATAGGCATCTACTTGCATAAAGAATTCTGCCTTAAAATTTAACCTATTTTCTTAATGATATGACAGAGCTCGTCATCAATCGTCACTCATAAAAAGTGTTAAAAAACCTGATTTTCAGTAATTAGGAAAAACGTGCTCGATCACTAAACACTTTCGGTAAGTGTATTTCTACTGAATATATTTTTTTCTAAATAACGTTTTATAAATTGAATATAATTACAGGATTTTTTAACACAAAGGCAGCTTCCTATTAAAAAATCCTGTTATTATATCGAATTAACATAGCAGCAACAAATTGAAGAAAATATCCTTACATAAAACGATTTCAAATAGACTAGAATTATATCTCAAAATATTCATTGAATAGATTCGAACTATAATCAATACTACGGTTACAATACTTAATAGTTTCAATAATAACAAACAAGTCTTTTGTAATTGCTAATTTGATTGTTTAAATAGCTTCCTACGATATATACTCCTATCAAATAATACTATCATATAATAAATATTACTAAATGCAGAATATTCGTTAACGGAATTTTGTGTACCCATCTTTAGATATAAATATACACATACTTCGTACCTTTTATTCATCGGGGTGGGCAGAGACAACAGCTTTCCATTTGCTCTTATTACGGTCCTTCTTTTTAGACACTTTTCGGCTTCTCCTGAAGGTAAGGAATTTCGTAAAATGTAAAAGAAATAGTCACCGACTTCTGTTAGTAGTATTCTCTGTTTTTGTGCAACCCCTTTAGTTAGATACTATGACTCTGCCTATTTCTATCGTAAAAGGCCCGAGCAATCACAGGCACACGAGATTTACGATATTATATCCCATGGCCGGGAACGCTTTTGCGATAATGAAGACATTTCCTTACTATTGGTAGTCAATACGCAACGGTAACCATTTTCCTTGTGGTGGTCTGTTTATATGCATTGTTTAAATAAGTACAATGTTTGTACTCGTCTACTCGAGTAGGCGATGTGTAGGATGATGTGTGTAATAAGGTTACATTTGCAAAAAATACATGCAGCAGTAGAGCTCCTTGTGAAGAAAGAGTTCGTCCAAGGAGTACCTTACCTATTTCTGCCGCCAAGCAGTAATGTTAGCATTACTGCGTTCCGGCTTAGAAGGGTAAGGGTGCTGGTGAAATTACAGGCACATGGGACTTGTCAACATATGTCTCAGGGTAACGAGCGTAGTGGCAGTGCTCCTCAGATTTTTGCGATTTATAGTTCTAAGTGGCACTGCAACTGTTATGGACAGGCGTGTAGCTTGCCATCAGGCACATGACTTGTTCATCTCGTCACTTGATATTATAAAAAAAGAAAAAAAAAAAAATCTTTAAGAAGACATGTTCCAAGATTTTTCGAAAGACATTGGTCGGTAACTTTTTATCCATAAATAGAAGAGTTATATAATATTTCACATGCAAATAATTTGTTTCATTTAATTCGTATTATTTTTATTACCTATAAGTGATTAAAAAAATTCGTGGTAGCCTAATGGTGTTTACCTACAGCCTCTCAAGCAGAGGCAGTGGGTTTGAATCCGGGCGCGCACCTCGAAGTTTTTCGGAATTTATATGCGAAATTTATCTTAAGGTTCTCAAACCTCGGAAAATGTGTAAAATCCCTAACCCGCATTGGACCAGCGTGGCGGACCATGGCCTAAACCCTCTCCTGAGAGGAGACCCGTGCTCAGATTTCAGAACTTCCTTCCTTTAATGTTGTCTCCCACGTTGGATGCATATAACTTTTTCGCCACTTTACTTCTATACGTGAGTTTGTGAATAATAGGCTGCAGTAAGAATTTATCATTCGGTGTAAAATGGACCGTAAATAAAACCGTACCACATTTTATACAGATGAATATCTTGTAAACATGTAAACACTGAATTTTTTGAACACGGTATTTTTCGGATTTTTCTCTTGTTACAAGCTTATTATGATGGACGACTTTTAAAATGGATAGGTTTAACTTTTTAATATATTTTGGTGCTGATGCTTGCGTAGACCTTTGTGCATTGAACATGTTATGTTAAAAAACCAAATAATTAAATAAGAACATGTACAGCTCTACTACATATATCATTGTCATCGCTCATTCGTTCGTTTATGATGGGAATGACTGACTGATGAATTCTGTTAGCAGTTGCAGTGCCCCTCAGAATTTTCAATAGCAAAGTTCAAAGGCTCACTGCCCCAGCGCCCGTCACTCTGGTACAAAAGTGGATAAGTTCCATGTGCTTGTAATGTCATCAGGTACGTAGTAATGTTCACATTTCCGCTTGACGGCCGAAATAGGTAAGGGTTCGTCAAGGGATGTACTGCCCTTGACGAACACTTTAACAAGGAGCTCTACTGCTACGGATGATATCACGGAACGTTTAAACTATAATTAAGTGTACTTGCTTTTCTTGAAGGAATAAAAATATAAATAAATATATAGATATATATAAATAAAAATAAAAAATATATATAAATGTTAGTCGTTTTTGTTGTATAATACAAATAATACAAAACGTTTCCATTGTAGAAGAAAAATAGTCTAAATTAAGAAAACCGACTTCACTACAAAAATACACACTTCAATAGTACACTTACTTCTGAAATCGAAAAACAATATTTTAAATAGTATTTCTAAATATCCAAAAAATGTTACGTATGGAAAAAATGTCGTAATGTAACTGAAGACCAAGGATTACAACACTTAGAAGGTTTCCCAGTAATGAAGGAATATTTGTTGTTAAGTTTGCGCAACGTGAAGTATTCGTCTGATATGCCCAAAATTAGGTAATATAAAGGAATCGGTCCGAACAATGGCAACTAAATGAAAATTTCGAAGATTTACATTGGTTACGGTTTACTCATAATAGTGGTACACCAGCTAATGGAGAGTTTCAATAAAATAGTGAAAATTTTCACCTTACAATATACATATCGTAGTATTGTCAATTTATAATTTCATTCAACTCTTAATTTGTAAATTAAGTAGTAGAACTCCTTGTGGAAGAGCTCGTACAGGACAACGTGAGCATTACTGCGTTCCAGTTGTGAAGGGTAAAGATGCTGGTGAAGTTACAGACACAGTGGGGCTTGTCAATATCTCAGGATGAGAGACGTAGTGGCAGTGCCCTTCAGATCTTTGTGAATTTAAGCTCTGAGTGGCACTGCAACTTTACTGCCATGGACAGGCGTGTCGCTTACCACCAGGCGCACGATTTGTTCCTTCCGTCACTTGCTATCATAAAAAAAAATGAAACGAATCAGCTGAATTACGACTAGATAGTCGATAGTCGTTGACTCACTCACATTTTTATATTATTATTTTTTTAATTATTCAAGAAAAACCCCGATGTACTCTACTAAAGACTTTTACTGAATATGGAGCTATGAATTTTTCATGAAACTCACATCGGTCGGTAATGATTCTTGTTAAAATCAAATCTTGGGGTACGATCGGATTTCCCCTGCATTCGAGCTGGAGTTCAAGCTCATCGCAAGTTGCGTGAATAATTCATTGAACTTGCATACACAAGGACAAACTGCATTCCAAATGCATTCATGTATGACAATCATGCTCACTGTTTTAAGTTGTTTCGACGTTCGTTATCGTTGAATATGAAGAGTACTAGTGAGATATTAAGTTAAGGGTAACAAGGTTATAATAATTAGGAATTTGATTTTGGATGAATTTCACATGAATGAGGTACTTTTGGGCTATAGGTCGTTTTTTTAGCATTAGATAAAAGGAAATAATGGGTATTTTATCAGGCGACACCTCATTTAGTCACTTGGTAAACAAATAACTTTTTAAAAAATACCGTGAAACAACATTCTCAAACATATTTAACATTTTAAGTAATTATTACGCTATTTTTACTCGCCAAAATCAGTACTCAAAAAAATTTTCTACCCATATACAAAAATTAAAGAAACAGACGTTCCAAACAAACGGAAACTTTTTATAAAGTAATAATATATTATAGTGTCATTTGTAAATATTATTTACAATCAATTATCACGATGTTTTCCTTTATTGTAATTTATTGTTTGTAGCTATAGGTTTATGATCTCTGCGTCTTTGTTTACAATTTTTCTGATTGTAATAAAATTAAGTATTGTAAGCATTTTTTTGCTATATGCGCAAAAGTAAAAGAAGTTTCTTTGCTATTTCAGTGAAATCACAA